AAAAAAAAAAAAAAAAAAAAAAAAAAAAAAAATCTCAAAAGGAGGCAGAAAGCGGTGTCTTTGAATAGGTTTCTTACTAAGGTTACATGACTGAGACAATAGCAGTGATTCTGTCAGTGATACAGAAAGTCGTTGTACACAACAGCCCTTAGTCTCCTTTAGACCAGTCACAAAGGTCTTCAAAACTAAGTACAAGTTATTTTTATATTGTACTTTATTATAATACAGTATTGAAATCACTTTTATATGAATTTTTTGGCTTGTGAAAGAAATCATCTGAGTTCCCATTATTTCTTATGGGAAGAGTCACGTTGGATTACAAGCGTGTTTCTAGAACATTTATGCTTGCAAACCAAAGTATTACCATACATCAGTGTGGATGAATACAACCTTAAGGAAAAAAATTTCACACAACAAAGATGTTCCCCATTTCTCCAGTCACATTAAGCATTAAGTGAACTTGTCTTTTATCCAGGTTATACTTTAATATCTAGATTTTTAGACCAGTATACAAAAAAAAAAACCAAAAAACAAAAAAAACACATCTGTTCAGTTAACTTCAGTTACTAATTTACCATTACTGTTCACATTTACTTTTAGGTGTTAGACTTAGTGTTTTAAACAGCAATTACCTAAATTATGAACACTTATTTTCAAATCAAAATTGAGCTCATTATTACCAAGTATATGTACAGTGGCAGAAGTCTTAAAAATTGGTTATATATACACATATATGTATTTCTCTTTCCTAAAGTTTCTACAAAGAACATACATGTCATCTGTTTTGTACATTTAAAATAACATTTGGCCTGAATTAAATAAGTCAATATAAAGGCTAAAATTTGTTTTAAGATTCAAATTCTAGACCACGCCCTCATCACAGCATTCAAAGTATTTGAATATTAGCTTCATAGTTCTATATGGCATGGTAAAATGTTTTCACAAACAGTAACTGGAAGTTTTTATATATTTTTGATAATAGGAACAGCCTGCAACTGAGATAAACCCACAAATCCAGTCTTACAAACAGCAGTAATACTGTTAATTCAGTTACCTTAGGGGCTCTGTCACATGCCAATAACTATCATTAACCTAGTCACAAAATAATGAAAGTATTTTTTATCAGAGTTACTATCTCCTTTTCATGTTTATTAAATGAGCTCAAAAGGAAAGAGGTAGAATCCCATTTTTCTTAAGTACCAACTCTCCAATTCCAAGTAGTTAATGCATTTTCACATATAAATAGTAATACTGGCACCAATTCAGTAAACTAAGAATTTTAAGAAATTACAGATGTGCTGTCAGGCAGCTATGTTAAACTAGCAACTAAGCAATGTGTGGAACTGTTGTTCTGTGCTCAGTTGCCATACCTGAATAACCATAAAGTCCTATTATTTTTTCCCCAAATAGATGACTATATGAATTTCAATGTCTATAGATAACCAAGAATAAAATCCTCAGGAACTATGGAGTGTCTTTCTCGTTTTCAAAGAACTCTACTTTGAGGGATGAGGAGGTTGTTCTTATAAATTACGCAGATTTACAGGTCAAGGTGACCTAAGCACCAAATAACCTGTTTAGATATCTCTGCTCTTCTATCTTCAAAAACAGCAGTGTATATTTGTATTCTTTTAAAAAAATCCAAATGTCACCAGTATATTTTATAAAATTAAGTCCAAATTTTATTTAAGGATTTCAAATTACATATTTCAAATTTCTAAAATGGAATAGAACCATCTTGGAATGCAGAAATGGCATAAATGAACACTGACATCCCTTGAAATTCAAATTTTACAAAGAAAACAATTCCTCTGCAAAACACATCCCCATTATGTAACAAGATGAATTATTATCTACCTCTTCACTTTGGCAATAGAGCTATTTCCTAAAGGAATGGGGAAAGGTGATTTTGTTACTTCTTTAATTAAAAATGGGATTCTATCTTTGATTAAAATTTTAAAGATCAGAAAAAGCTATGTTTAGATGAAATATGGTTAAAAAAATCAACACAATGTCCAATCAATATTATGAAAATTATGAAAATAAAAAGGAAAAAACTACTGTGATTGGTTAAGGATTTCCAGTAGTCAGGAGTCTCAGGAAGAGGATGGATAGTTCCACATAAATGTGCTCATATTTTGAGTCCTTAATACTAAATTTTCAAAAAGAAAACTATCACTTATAAAAATGTATCAACTCAATGTAATTTCATTAACAGCAGGAACTCTAGACCTTCCTTAGTCCATTCTCATTATCAAAAATAAGTTCATACCCAAAATTAACAGTAATTAGCCTGAGGTATTTTAAATGTGGCTCTGAAGTCTCAAACATAATGGCATTCCCCTCCCCAAAACAGTCTTATTAGTACTTCAGGCCCATAATCTCCATAGTACTTACTACAATATGGTCATGGTCACCTAGAATATCTGAGGAAAAAAAATCCTTGGATGTTTTGAAACAAACCCATCCCCCATCCATTTTCACTTAAAATAGTGGCCACATGAAATCTTGAGTGTTATCTAGCCAGATCCACAATAGGGGTGTTTCAACTTCATGTTCCAGTTTAAGTATCACAGCCTGGTGTGAATAAAATTCGGAGTATCACTTTGTGGTACAAATAGGTTCAAATTTCTGAGGCTTTAAATGAGACTGAGAAAGAGTTCATGAAATTTAATGTACTATGCCTTAACACATCTGTGAGGTAGTTAAGTAAACAGTACTACCCATTTTAATACATAGTAAACAGAAACATGGGTAAATGACATAGCTAAGCAATTAAGGATCAGAATAAACCATAGAGGTTTAGGGCTTTCTCTCTAGTTATAATCCAAAACCATGAAATTTAACTTTTCTTCTTTTAAAAAAATGTATCAAATCATTTAGGTTTTCTGCTTTTACTTTTGGTTCAACTGGCTCTTTTTACTTCAGTATGTTAAACTGGGCACAATAATCATTAATCCAAGTTTAGCCTCTGCTTCTAACCTGAATCAGTACAAAATTAAGACATTAACCCTTGTGAGAACTAAAATTGCATTTACCATTTTTATTTTAGACTGCAAAAACAAAAACAAGCAAACAAACACCCAAAAAAACATGAAATAGGCTCATCAAATGATGTAAAGTCATCCTTTCCAGGAAAGCAGAAGGTAGACCCTACCACAAAGAAAAGACGCTTAGTTAATGGATGTTAAATTTAGAAATATACTAAAATAGTATCAGTTTAACTTCTGAAAATTCTAGGTTTTATTCAGTTCCCTGTGGCAACCATACCCATGTAAATTAGGCTTCCATATAATTAACTATCACCTAAAATGTAAAAATCCATTAATAAGCTAACAATTATCAGATTTGGTCTTACTGGAAATTCTTAACCATGTCTTTTTTTTCCCCCTTTAAATGATTATTTTAAGTCACCGCATTTCTGTAACAAAACAAAATGAAAAGTACAACTATGCAAGCGACTTAAACCCACTCTACAACTAAGCAGGAAAACTATTTTGGTTCTTCAGGAAAAAGTTAATTTTCACAGTTATACTCCAATAATTATATGATGCAAATAACCAAGTTGCAGCAATGAATGAACATGCTTCAGAGAATCTGTGCATTCGATGTAATCTGACAGTAAAACTATAGTTAAAATGCTAGTTAGACAAATTGATCGCTAAAATATCAATTCCTTTAAAAAAATTACTGAGTCTACCAAGTAAATACAAAAACATAAGGCTGTAAGTAAATAATGGTTGTGTTTAGGCTATTACAGTGCAGGTTATCCTCAAGGCCACATACATCCTGCTTCACTGCTGCTTGCACTCTGCTGGGTTTTGCTCCTTCTGTTAAAGGAAAACAAGAAGTCAATCTAACTTCTACCTACTTCCATGTATTTCTCAACAGTAATTACTACCTTTATCACAATATCCCACTTGCCAAACTTTTTACCTGAAGAAATGATATTTAACAATGACAGCAAATTAGTCTTAGCAAGTCAATAAAATGCTACAAAGCCTAAATTTCACAATGCACAATTAACTCCATAATACACTAATCTTAAAATAACTTGGTAGCCATTTCATCTTCACAGATACTAAGTTCATTTATACTTGGCTATTAGGATTATTTCATACCTATCACACTATTTGAAGTTACTTTCTTATAAAATCTGTTACTTAGATTATATCTTCTGGATTATTTTATAGCACTGAACACAGTTAAGTCACCACTTACAAACAAGTTTCAATTTGTTTGACAAAGTGAGTCCTACACAGCACACCTGTCAAAGTTCACAACTCAAACATTCCTAAGTCAGAGACTCATTGTACATGAATGAACTTTAGATAAACCTTGAGTTTCAATAATTTTGATAATTCATTATGTATTCTGTGGGAAGTACTTTTACCAATCCTAGTATTACAGATTAAACTGACAGGAATTATTGACTGGGACCCTGAGGGACTTTAAAATAACAGTGGTTGGGAGAATCTAAAAACAACACTACTCCCCAGTTTTCAAGCACTCTCACATTCAGCTCCCTGAAACTAATTTTATCAGCTTTCCTTTAGAGGGAAACAGTCTAAGACCACAGATAATAAATGTGTAACACTTAAAATTGCAGGGGGAAAAAAGCCCCAAATAAAATGTCATTAAAAATAGAGTGCTAAAAAATAGAATTAAATTAAATTAAAAAATAAAAAGACACAATGCTAAGGGTTTCATTGGCCTGAAACTATGAAAAATACAAAGTCAAGTCAAAATGTTTCTCAGGGAAAAGTGCACTGATGTTTGTGTACTACTCAAAATACAAGTAAGGACTGGAAAGGAGGGGAGGTATACATCAATGGGCTTTTCTGGTTAAGTGTAATGGAGAAAAATAAAACTTTATTCTTACTTTATCTTGCCTTGAATTTAACAAAACAGCACTAATTTTGCTCACCTTTGGGTCATAGTCAGGATCATTTTCCTCATCTCCTTCTTCTTCCCCTTCCTATATTAAAGTTCAAAATGCATCCATGAAGTAGGTACACAGCAGAAAAAAAAATGGCTCATAATGTAGGGAAAATTCAATACAATTTACTCTATGGGTCAACAGATTTTCATGATTACAGAGTTTGGTGATAACACAATTTAATTTGCAAGTTTCTAATATGAAAAATTTCCCAACACAACGTGAGACATCCAGAGAGCTTTTATTGAAAAGATTTACTGCAGCCAACGTTGAAAAAGTTTACTGCAGCTTTTGACTTCTTCAAAGAGCTGATAACCCTGCAGCAGAACAAAATTATTTGAAATAAAAAAAAAATGTTGCTGAGTTTTGCAATTTATTTATTGAAACCGTATACATACATTGTTTGGCTGTAGAATTCTAAGATCATATTTTCCAAAATTTATCCCAAATGACAGAATGATTATAGCAAAGGAATACATAAGTCACTCAATTTGCTTCTCAATGTGTTAAACAGAATTATTTGCTCATTTGGTAAACATTACCTCATCCGCTTCTTCACCTTCTTCATCATACTAAAGAGAAAACAGGATAAATATAAATGAATATAACACATGAGAATAACGTTAACACCCAACCCTTGAAACACTTTAATCTAGTGCTCGCTTAGGGGGCAGCACATACACTGAACATTTAAATCTAAAAGGTGAAAACAAAAAACAGCTCTTAAAGTGACTGATTATAAATTAGCTATAGGAAATCACCTAGTGCTATTATCTATAACCTCATAAAATTAAACAATATAATTACATAAAGTATGATTAGATAACTATTATTACAGGTATTACTGGTTTATATCTGTATGAAACACACTGCACACAACAGCCAAAGCCTATAAGGGCAGTCTCATTTTACCTTAATCATTATTTAATATAATCTTAGATGAAAATTATATGCTCCTTAAATAAATGTTAAACAATAAGTCCTTGTTGTATTTTATGTGGCCAAATCCAACATATGGCACTAATAACACTAAACCTACAAGTTCCACTAATTCAAAATAACCTTCCTATTAGCAGGACAAAAAAGGTTAAATCCAAAGATCCTAAGGAGCCAGCCATACTTAAGACTGAGAGAAGGTATCTAAGATTATCACTTTAAATTGTTCTGTCTTATTTTTGAAAAGTTCAACTTAGCAATTCTGATTACCAAACATTTCCTTTGAAAATATCAAACCCTCATCAAATTATTTCCCTGTAGGGTTCAAATTTACTCACATCATCATCATCATCTTCAATAGCTTCTCCAGTGAAGTACAACACCGATCTTGGAATTATACGCTCACGTAAAAAATGGCCAATTTCAAAATCTGCAGCAAGGATAGCTTCAGCATCATCATCCTATTGTTTAAAGGAAGATAAAAGCACATATTTGAAAGTAACTGTAATTTGACATATGTGAGATGTCTACGTTAAAGTCATGAAGAAACTTGAGCTGGCATTTAGTGTAGAGTACCTGCCCAACATCCTCCATCCCCATCCCTGAAAAAAAAGAAACCCTCAACTTTATGTCAACCTAAAATTAAATTATACTCATATAGATCAAGTAGTCATCCATATATGCTAGCTTTATACATTTTTCATAAAAAGAAGTTAGCAGAAAATAAGTAAAATAAGGGCCAGAGATGTAGCTAATGGTAGAGCACTTGCAAAGTATGGGTGAGGCACTGGGTTCAAACCCTAGTACCACAGGAGGGAGGGAGGGAGGGAAGGAGGAGAAATTGTGGTAAATAAAAATTAGAACTATTGCCTAGCTTTGGGGGGAAGCATGAACAGTAAAATATAAATGTAACTTTTGTTACATGACAATTTTCCACTGAAAATACACACTGGAATACCGAAAGAAAAAACGCAGACTTTCATAAGTAAAACTAAGTATACGGTAAATAAGAGACCACAGTACCCAAATGGCTTATATAATTAAGTACAGTTGTAAATCTATGCAATGACAAAGGAGTCCGACTTTATGACTATAATAAATCGACTAAGCCAATCTAATATTTCTATATAATGGTAAAGCACAGCAGAGAAATAATTGACATTATTCAAAATAGTTTTAAAATCTCTTTTAAGTAGCTGGGTGCACGCCTATATTCCCAGCACTCAGGAGGCTGAGGCAGGAGGATCTCTGTTTAAGGCCAACCTGGGCTACATAGCATTTCAACCACCTCTCAAATCCCACTTAAATTCTGAACTAAACAATGAATTCCATAAAATGAGTCCTAAGCATAATCCACACAAATAAACAAAAATTTGTTAAAATGGGTGTATATGTTTAAGACTATTAAGGAAGAAATTCTAATCACAAATGGAGGTTTTTTGTGCATAACTTTTGAGGTTTTTCTGCCACCATCAATTTTTAATAGTAAATGTTAAAAATGCACTCAACACAAACTTCAACCCATCCACTGATGTGAAAATTATGTGAAGGTCCATCTTAATGCTCCTAAGTAGTTCTTAACCTGCAATTTACACACTGCTGTACATTTCCATAGTTTGTTTGCTAAAAGACATTTTGACCCATGCCAGTTGATCAAATATTACTAGTCTTTTGGAAATCTGGTCTAAGCTTAGCCAACTTTATTCAAATTCAAAAGTATGCAAATTAATAAAATCTTTAATCTCATATACATACAAAACTATTTAAACTGCCATAGTAAAATTAAAAACCATGGCCAACAGAAAACAAATTTCAAAACATGCCAGTTCTATCCCTGCTTATTGTAACATTCTTTGAGGTTTTCCTTCACTCCAGAATACATGTCAAGAACAGGAACATTTCAGTTATCTATGCCACATATATGAACAAACATGGCCACAGAATGCTAAGATATCTCCATTGAAACAAGGACAGCTAAGAGTTCCAAACATAATGCAGTTAAAAGTTCAATCAGTATAAATGACATAATACATCCTATTTTCATTAAGAAAATTTTAGAGAAGTTTCATTTCAATGTTTCTCAGTAGTGACACCAACATCATCTTGAATGAACACTTTTTAGATCCTGAAAGCTCTGCCCTACAGATTGCAGGCCTTCGAACATATGCTAGAAGCAGGCTGTAGACGTAGTTCAGTGGCAGAATCCTCACCTAGTATGCAAAAGCCTTGAATTCAACCCCCAGCACAATGCAAATAACCGGTCTAAATAATGTTAGTAGCAACCATCCCATTCTACTTTTGAGGACCATAGCTTCCATCTTATATACAGTCAAAGCCATAAATTTTACAATTCCACTTACCAGATCTCCACTCTCAGGAACTGCAAAATTAAAAAAAGAAATTCAAATGAGTAGGAAATTCAACAAAGCTCATAATAAAACAACCATAAATACCCAAACTAAAACACTATTTACCTTCTGGAGGAGCAAAAAAATTAAAGAAAGAATCATTGGAAACTGTTTTAGTCACAGTTCGAACTGTTCCACGTCCCTTATGTTTCTGCTTCTTTTTAATGGTTTTCAAAGTGACATTCTTTCCTTTTTTCCAATCTATCTGGCACCTTGCAAACCAAAGGGAAAAAATATTTTATCACAATTAGCACTTTCAATTTACTACATTTCTATCAGTTGTATTTTGTGCTTGCGAGGCAGGCAGCAGCACTGCTGAGCTAAAATCCCTAGCCCCACAACTTCCAAGTTTTTTGAGACAGTAATTAGCTCAAATTTTTTTTGTCACAGTAGAACTGGGAAAATTTTATTTCTAATCAAAACTTTAAAATGTACATTAGCAAAACTGCAGTATCATATAGTTAATATTGTATATACTCTTTTACAGAAATAGGTAATGTTACAGTGATTGGCACTAAGAAAAACGGAAGGAAAATGGCACATTTCACTAAAATGCTTGACAACAAACTATGTATGCATCAAACACACACAATGAAAATACAAGTATCATAAAGCATTAAGTACAAAATATATATATGTAATGTTCTATTAAAGTACTAAAACTCACTCACCCTGTACAGCCCATAATTTCTGGTCCATCAAATGAAAAGGGATCAGAATCATCTGGTTCCGATCTCATCCTATACGTCTTTGTCAACACTTCATTTGTGAAATATTCATTGGGTTCAAAGTGAAATTCTAAGACAAAACTCTTTTTAAAAAAGCATAAAAGTTAGTTTAAATCTTACATCATGAATTTTAATGCATTCATAAATAGCTTAATCTGTGCTTTTTTTACAATATAAAGAATTCTGAATGATTTTTACTCTGAAATACAATGCCATGTAAGAAATCCTAAGTCACATTAAAATAGCAAAATGATTTACAACTATCATTTAGTCTGAAATACACCTGAAGTGACTAAGTCCCCCTTCTTTATTATCTACCCAAAAAGGAGGTTTTTAAATATGAAACTAGAACCTGAACTTGACAAAGAAAAAGTTCAACTAACTGTAGGAATCTACAGCCTACTACTTTTATAGTAGCTTTGCCCATAGTTAACATACTGTTAGTTTTTAGGAAAGGTTGTCAGCTTCTCTTTCATCCTGGAAGAGGCCCTCTAACATTATTTATGTAATTCCCAGGCATGTGACTTTTTAATACAATCTATATAATTGTTTATTCATGTTGAGTTGTCATTTTTTAATCTACTTTAATCCAGGATCAATGATTATATTTTAAAAAGGTTAAGTTCACAGGAGAAAAAGCAGTAAATGCAGCATCACAATTTCTAACATCCAGATATTTATTTCCTACAATTAATAGTTTCAGGGCCGGAGATTTAGCTCAGCAGTTTGGTGGCCTGCCTTGCAAGCACAAAGACTCACCAAGTTCAATCCCCGGTATCAAAAAAAAAAAATAATAATAATAATAATAATAGTTTCAGCATTTCCTTTTTCCTTCTCACCTTCATCCCTAACTCTTGAATATCATCTATCTTTAAAAACCTTCACCAGGCATGGTGGCATACACTTGTAATCCCTCACTAGGCTGAGGCACAAAATCACTGAAAGTTCTTGGCCAGTCTGGGCTACATAGTGATTTCAAGAACAGCCTAAACTACACAGTGAAATCCTATCTCAAAAAACAAACAAACAAAAAACAAACAAACAAAAAAAACTTTTCATTTATCTACTACAAAATTGTACATATTTTAAAAGTTTGTTTTGTTTTGTTTTTACCATAGGCTGGCCAGCATCTGAGAACTTCACTTTAATGTCCTTCAAATGCTTCAGAATTGGTTCATCATGTTCCTTCAAATTGAAAGATTAATAAAATTGAGTACTGTGGCATTTTAAGATCAAGGTTCTCTTACTAAACAAACACTAGATAATTAAGATGGTATTTTTTACCATAAAAAAGTGACCTTAAGAATATCTTCATATTACAGAATACAGCGACACTACCTTACACTACAATTCTGTCACTGACGCAGAACAGACTAAACAAACAACTACATCATTGTACAAAATCAACAATCAAAAAATAGAAAACTAAGTTTAAATAGAGTGTGACTGCTTTAAAATGTTTCCTGATTGCAACTGCTGGCTTTTCTAGCTGCTTTTTCCTTCTCACTATGCTGAAACAGAAAGGCAATAAGCAGTGACTATATTGAGATCATTTCTTTTTCTCAATGTAACTTCTAGCTATACAAAATGAGGCAACAGGTACTACAAAACAAATAAGAGGTTCAAGAAATGCTAAGAGGCAAAGTATCCCTAGGGTGACTCTATTGGTTTCCCAGAGAACAATACAACTATGAATGAAAGAAACATCTTCATAGAATTTTTTTTTCAGTGCACATTTTAGCCAGGAACGATGGCACAAGGCAGGAAGATCACAGAGTTAAGACGCCAGCCTGGGCTACATATACACAGAGAGACCCCCATCTCAACACTCCACCCCAGCAAAAAGCCAATTTCCCAAATTTCCTAGAATAATTCCAGCCCCAGAATGAAAAGCTCTTCTGGGGCAAGAGAAAATTCTATTAAGATTCCTCTCTCTCCATATTAAGAAATGCAAAGACAATGCACTGGGTTATGAGAAAGCGTCAACTACTGATGAAACTATTTCATCATCTAATTTTTAAAAATGAACTGTAGTTTATTTGGCTATAAATAAAGAACAAAAGCTATAATCTTCCTTCTATAGATTGTGCTATTTCAAAAAAGAACAATCACTCTTTAAAGGTCAATACTGAGAATAGTCAGCCATTTAAATTTCAAATGTTTATCTTTCAGCTGAATTGGTGTTTTTATGAATAAAATTACCTGAACCATGTCACTGAGCAAGTCAACATTCTTAAAAACAGTCAACCAAAATTCAGGGATTCCTTTAGGATCTTCTTTTTCTTCATCTTTTTTCTCATCTTCAATCTTGGCCTTTTCTTTCAGCTCCTCCTTGATAAGTAACAGTATATATTATATACTCTTGACAAACTCTTATATGTCCCCTTAACTTACATAAGCTGTGCCCTAAGTGTAAAAATCAACATACCCATAGCCACCAATTACAACTTTCAGTCAAGAGAAGGTCTAGTTAAGTTGGGGAAAGAGTCCTGTTACCCATTCCATTAACAATGCTGCTAGGCAAGGCATGGTTGCACATTCCCTAATCCCAGCATTATGGGAGGCTGAAGCAGGAAGATGAAAGTTGAAGCCCAATCTAAGCAATTTAGACCCTCCTCAAAATAAAAAAAATAAAAATAAAGGGCAGAGAATAGTAGCTCAGAGTGAAGGCCCTGGGTTCAATCTTCAGTACCACCACTACCAAAAAAATCCCTGCTACCATTTCCCTCTAAAAAGACCACTGGGACCAACTGACAGAGGAAAAAACATTTTATAAAAAAAAAGAGAGAGACTTTACAACTGGGTATAGATAGTGCCAGGTTGAACAATGTCCCATCAGCACTATACATCTTACAAAAAACGAAACAAAAACAACATTTCCTAGGTATAAAAACACCACTAATTGGGCTGAAGATGCAAGCTCAGTGGTGCTGCGCCTGCCTGGAAAATCAAGGTCCTAAATTTGATCCCCAGTACCGCCAAAAAACAAAAAACAAACACCATTAATTCTGTATCTCAGCAACAAATGTTAACATTTCAGACAAAAGATATTGTCATCTAAAATTACACTAGAATAAAGTTGATACTAACCGAAATTTCTTCTTCCTCATCTGGTTTCCATTCACATTCTTCTTCCGTCGGTTCATAAATTGCATTAATGATCTCAAATCGCTAAAATAATAATAAAAGCCTACATAAAAACACTGGAATCCAACCTTAACATTAGGGATTTCTTATTAAGGACTCTAATAGATTTAATTAACGAATACCAAGACAAGGGCTATTACTCTTGGTGGTTTTCCTAAGTACTTCTAATACCCACTTTAGTACTAAACCAGCTCAAAGTTTATTTGTACTTCCAAGCCTGTCTTCTAGAATTTTAGATAAACAGTAGAGTATTACCTTATCAAACAGTGGTTGGTAGAGAACGGCATACTTCCTTTCAAGATCATGAACTTCCTCATAGAATTTGGCTTCTATTTGAGCACATTTAACTTGAAGGTTTTTGAGAGCATTCACTCTTCTTTTAACCACCCTAGGCAAGCTAAAAAGTTAGAAACCAGTTACACAGCATCATAATAAAACACACCAGTCATGCTCTTATCATACTGAAATTGAAGCATCAAAGTGAATGAATAAGCTTCCTATTGAATGAAAAGGTGCAGTTAAAGTGATTCAAGATAGATATAAATTTACTGACCCTTTGGTAAAATAGTTCCAAAGTAGAAATTTAACCAAGTAACACCAATTTGTAAAAAAAGAAATCATTTTGGTCAACCCTAACCTCTCTAAATGTAATCAAGTCCAGAGTTAGACTTATTACTGATATCACCTCAACTCTAAAATGCAACATAGTTTATCATGACTATCTTAGAATAACCGTGCTTACTTCATATTTTCTTTTTTTAACTTACATCTCACCTGTAGTAGTAATAGAGGAAAGGACAGAAGCATGTGTATTTAGGAGAAAAGGACAATGTATCGTTACCTTTTTAGTCTAATTTGGTATTTGAAATCACATTAAATAAAAACATTAAGAAGGAACAAAAAAAAAAAATTTTTTTTTGGTACCAGGGATTGAACTCAAGTCCTTATAGCTGCCAGGCAGGTGGTGGAACCACTGAGCTAAATCCCAGGCTAGAAGGAACAAATTTTTAATCTCAATAAATTTGATATTTAAAAATCACATAAATCTTTTAAATAATAATGTGTTGAAGTACCATCCAAATGTCATGATATGCCATGGGGCACTGATTTTTTTTAAATTATACACTTAGCTTACGAAGATACTTAAAAATTAATAAACTCCTCCTATCACCCTGCAAAATGTTCACACTCCAAATTACCTAATGTCAGGAAATCTATGCAATATATTCAGAATCCACATTAAAATTTCCTGCTACAAATTTTTGTAAATCTCCCTTAGCCAATACTTTGATAAGATTATTACAAATATTAAACACTTAAAAATTTCAACTTTCACTTAAAGGAAAAAATAATGTTCTGCCTTCCACCAAAATGTTGAACTTGCATGGGCTCTGCTCCTGGTTTTCTCTTCCATCCCACAATTAATCCTAAAAACTTCAGAACCAAGAAGAAAGCCACAATTTATCATCTTGGCCCTCCTACACACATATACACACATATACATACACCTACACACCTCAACAAGCAACTTTTGGGTAAAGCTAAGGCCAACTTTAACTGGTATAGGTTGAGCAGCAACCTGGGAACATGATAGTTTAAGAGTAGGTGACAGAACAAGTTGGAGAAAACCATTTTTGTAAAAAAAATATGGGGGGGGTAGCTCAGTGGTTCCTTTGCCTGCTTCACAAGCACAAGGACCCAAATTCGATCCCCAGTACCCTCCCCAAAAAAGTATATGTGGCCTATTTGGGCTGGGGATTTAGCTCAGTGGTTCTGCTGCCTGCCTCGCAAGGATAAGGTCTGGAGTTCCATCCCCAGTACCAAAAGAAAAGAAAGAAAAGAAAAAGACAAAAGACAAAAGACAAGTGTAAAGTGTTCAAAGAAAAAGTGCAAATAAAGAAAAACAAACTAATACCAGAGATCAAAAGAATCACTGCATGGAAGATAATTTTTAACATATTTAAGAACTTTGAATTTACAATTTTATAACCAAACTATTCAGATGTGAAAGCAAGATAAAAATTTGCTCAGGTTTCACAAGCGGTAGCCACAGATATGCATTATATTCATTAAAAACAATTTTAGACATAAAAATATAGGAAATTCTATATAAATATAAGATACAGTATATGTGGTCAAAAAGCTCAGTATTTCATTGTTGCATTAAAGGAAAAAAAAATTAGATGACCAGAAAAAAATAGAACACTACAGATGCTGGTAAATTTAATAAATCAATAGGAGCGAATGAACTTACATATTAAATTACTACAGTAACTAAAAACAGAATGCATTAACTTTGAAATCAGCAGAAAATCTACTATACAATTAGAAATAAAAAAGGCAGAGAGAAAGAGAAAGTACAATAAATTAAAAATGAGGGAAAGACGAAAGCTAATTTCAAAAAATGTAAATTTGAATTTACTAACAAAGAAGTAAACATTCCTACTAGAAGACAAAGGATCGATTTTTGGTAAAGAAAAAAAAAAAGAGAAATGGAGTGCATCTTATTATTATTATTATTTTTTAATGTAGCAGGGATTGAACTCAGGACCTTGTGCTTGCCAGGCAGGCACAGTGCAACTGAGCTAAATCTCACTGAGTTAATTCCCCGGCCTGGAGTAGGTATCTTTAACAAACAATGGGGGCTGGGGGTAGGGAGTCATAAATACAAAGTAGGACATTTTGATTTAATAGGACAGACCCAAAAATAGTTTCAAAATGTGTAACCTCACAACTGAGAGGATTACAGAAGAAATATAAATTAATTGGAGGTGCTATTTTTCCCAGAAATGGTTAGATCAAGCAGATAAAGAAGAGAATCTCGGGCCAGGGATTTAGCTCAGTAGTTCCACCACCTGCCTCCCAAGCTCAAGGATCCGAGTTTGATCCCAGGTACCAAAAAAAAAAAAAAAGAATCTCAAAAATATAATAAACTTGAACTATTAATCTCAGCATATATATCATACCCAACATTTACAGGATACTTATAAAACCAGAGTGCACTAAGGCTATAAATAAAGGACCCAGATTAAAGAAAAAGTATCAATGAACCAAGTATCAAATGAACAAAGGAGCAAGCAAACCTAAGTAAGGTTCAGGGGTTCAAGCATGCTAAGCAAGTGTCCTACCACTGAGCTACACAACAATAAAGCCAGAAATCAATGAGAAGCAGTAACAAAAACATGGAAAAGTAAATCTATTTTTCTAAAAATCAGAAAGTGTACACCAATCAATTTAGAATCCAGATAAAATACATCCACATTTAGAATATAAAACTCCATGGCTCACAGGAGAGAACTTGAATAAAGTATCTAATTTTTTTTTTTTCTTTTTTTTTTTTTTTTTGAGACAGGGTCTCACTATGTAGTTGAGACTGACCTGGAACTCACTATGTAGCCCAGGCTGGTCTCGAACTCACAGCAATCCTCCTGCTTCAGCCACCTGAGTGCTGGGATTACAGGTATGCACCACCACGCCCAGCTTTTTAGAAAAGTAGCCCACTACTCCCCAGGATCTCTAATCCCAAACTCCAAATGCCCAAGTAAATTTTCAGAATTCTATTTCTATCTTACCCAAGTTATTGCAGAAAATGGGGATGAGGGTGTAGGACATAAAAGCAGATCTGTTTATTTCAATGGAAATCTTATTTCAGTGGAAATCTTCACTGTCTGCCAAGTTTATGCGCGCGCGCGCGCGCACACACACACACACACACACACACACACACACACACACTGACTGAGGACTCCAAATAAAATAAGCACAATGTAACACATTATGATTAAATTTACTCCAGAAAAACAAGAGTAGTTTGACTCACAAAATATTTATTTAATATTTACTTAACAGTAAGAATAAAATTCAAAAGGGCACTTAAAGGGGTTAGGTATGGTGGCACACACCCATAATCCCAGCTATTCAGGGAGTTGGGAAAAGGACTATTAAAAGTTAGAAGCCAGCTTGAGCAATTCAGCTACTACATTTCAAAACAGAAGAGCTAGGATGTAGCTCCACACTCCCTTGGTTCAATCAATCTCTAGTACCACCACTGGGATGGAGGTGGGGGGACAGTGAAGGCTGGAATTCTGGAGAATTTGCTGGTGTGTGCAAAGACCCTAGGTTTAATCTAAAGCACCAAAGAATAGAAAAAAAGAGGACTGAATTTAATGGGCAGATTTTATAACCATTTCCAATGACTAGAAATAAGACAAGTGCCTACCTTTAATGCTAATGTTCAACACAGTACTGACATCCTGGCTGATGTTATGAGACAAAATGTGGTTTAGTATAATGTGAAAGATTAGAACTAAAACTGATATTATTTGCAAATAAGCTCTTTAGGGAGAGTATGGACAAAACAAATTACAATAAATTTATCAAATCAATAGCAGTGCACTGTGTATCAGAAATAGCTAACTCAATGCAATTTAAAAAAATCACTACAGCAACACATCTGAATTATATAGAAATGAATCTAACCAATTTTGTGAAATTATAAGACACAATAAAGTATATAGATGACACAATATTAAAACACATACTTTTCTGTTAATCTACATAAATTCAATGTAATTCTTATCAAAATTTTAGAATTTAAAAATATTTGAGAACCTTGATAAATTTCAATGTATGTGAGATATGGGTCTGGTTAGGTCAACCTTGAAACTGTGTTTGGGGATGGGGAAGTAGGGAAAGAAACAACTTTTCCTGCCAGATAGCAAGAAACACTATAAAAGTCATAGAAATTAAGTGTGACAGTGACAAAAAAAAAAAATGGCCAAAAAAAAGATTAATGAAACAAGATGTGTCTGAGGGTGGGAGAAATGTAGAAGAAAGCAACTTGTTTTACCAGATTAAGACATAGTACAAAGTCATGGTAATTAAATGACAATGACGAAACAGACAAAAAGACCAAAGAAACAAAATAGTACACAAAGACAAACGCAAGTATTTAAAAGAACTTGACATGTGATATAGTTCACACACAAATAAATGAGGAAATGGATTAATAGTGTTTAATAACTAGCTCACTTTAAAAAATGAAAGTCGAAGGAGAAACTGGATGCTTACACTAAATATAAAGGTGGACTACATGTAGAGAGATCAAAGTCCTAAATGTGAATGGTAATACTACTACTAAACTAGACAACAGGAAATGTAGAGAGAACTAGGAAGGACTTCCTAAACAATTTCAAAAGCACAAGCCATAGGGAAAATTGTAGTAACATAAAAACTAAGGATTTCAGTTTAAGGGATATAGGAGTCCATGGATAAAGTTAGTAGAAATGACACAAAATATTATTTACAAAATCTAAAACTGTAAGAGAGTAACAACCGGAATACATAAGAACTACAAAATATGAAAGGCATAGAAACTCCAGTAAGATAATGGACAAAGGGTACAAATGGGATACCTAAGTCTCACAAGCTTTATGACAAGAAACCCAAAATTCATTAGAAATCAGAAAATATAAACAAAATGAGCTCATATCTACTAGCCCATATCTACCTACATAGCTAGCAAAGATCTCACTAAAATGTATATATTCCAAAGTTCTTTCAGTTCCTTAAGAGGATATGCACAAGAAGGCCCATCATAATACAGCAAGTGCTGATGGAGACAGGAGCCCATCAAAGGAAAAGTAGGTAGTAGAACACATACCAGAGAACCAGGTAACATTAAGAAGCTTGTAAGCAGAGATACATTTGGACAGTAATAGATACCTATGATCCATATAAAATATGAATGGATCTTAAAAATCATAGAGCAGAGTTATAAGCTGAATAAGATATTCAGGCTCTTAATGATATGTCACAAATGAAATAAATCCGTATTTCTTCAAATTTTCTGCATTTCTAACAAACTACAAAAATTGCAGAAATGGTTAATAATATACTTGTGAACTTGAACCAAAATAAACTTTAAAAGACCAACTCTAAATAATAAGCCTATACTAGTTAAATTCTCATTATTACATACAAAAATCTTAAGATGAGTTTTAAAACAGATACACCTGCAATGCTGATTACAGAAGGATAAATTAGAAGGATGGAAAAGAAGACTTGTACCTTTCAATGTATCCTGTTGGTGTGTCTACCAGACCATCAAGTCTTTCTTGAAGGGCTGCAAGAATCTGAGGATTTTGCATCATCTGAACAGTCAGCTGACGCGCTTTAAAAAAAAAGCGGGGAGGGGCATCGAAAGGATTTTATGAAAATGTTTTTCATAAAGTTCTCCTAGCTGGCCCATAAAATGCTGGCATAAAGAATAGAAATGGGCAGAGTGAGCTAAAGAAAATGTACTCTAGAAACCTCAATGTCCAGGAAAATTCAAATTCCTAATGACCTCAGCACTTCTCAAGGCTACTTCCACAATTACTATGAACAGTATCTTTTCTCTTCCTAGTATCTTGTTTCACCCACCTTGCACTTTGGGAAGCTCAAAGCTTCATCCAGATGCCTATCTAGGATTCTTGATAGTCCTTAGAAGGCAGATAACACATATCTGAAAGCTGCAAATATAGTGAGCTTTAAGCCTGGGACAAAGATGGAGTGAGTGACATGGATGCTTATGTTTGATGCCTATGTGGTTTACTTGTGTATGGATCAAAAAAAGGTAATAGTTAACACAAAGGCTGTAACTAAAGCCAAATATACTAATGGCTTTTAACTTCAAAACAATCCTGTTGCTATCTTCTCTCTCTCTTTTTTTTTTTTTTTTTTTTTTTGGTATCGGGGATTGAACTCAGGTCCTTGCACTTGCTTGCAAGGCAGGCCACCAAACTGCTGAGTTAAATCCCCGGCTCAGCTATCTTCTTTATCAATACATATTACATGAAGTTGCCAATGATTTTCTACAGTATGTTCGTGATGGCTAAATTACTTCTACTTTAACTCAATTACTAGATGATATACAGCTGTAATTATTACCAAACAACTAGAAACATCAATAATGGCCACCAAGGACACAATCTCAAATCTGTTAAGAAAACATTGAAAAATTAAAGCTGTAAGTTCGTAATTCACTTCCATCTGACTTAAAAATGTTAATAGCCATCTGGTGATTCAATATTCTTTGTCCAGAGCTACAGAGTATAACCTTAAATAGTACAATTCCTTATCACCACCACTACTCCTTTACAAAATTACCTGTTGAGGTGAATTAATTAAATGCTGTCATTTAATTAATGTTTATTTCTAAAGAATTGATTTTTAAAAGATAGACATACTACATATTTTCTACACATTAAACACTAAACATTGTTTAGAAGCACTACCGTAAGCTCCTCAGCAACCCTCCATTCCCACTACCTGGAACTTTTCTAAGATAAATAGACACAGCTATGTCTTATCACCCCAGCAGCTGAAGATTCAGTAACTTTTGATGAATCACATCCATTATCTTCCTTTTCTTACACTAACTCACTCAACACACCTCTTGTGCACTAACTCACTTAACACACACACAAACACAGTTACTGAACTGGAGGTATGAACAAGTACGTAAAGGACAATGGACAGAGAGTTCCAGAAGGGAATGATACATCTAACTCTCTTCTAGAAGACATGTGCCAGCAACCACTGGCTCCTGAAGTAATTTAAAGTAATACCTTTGATTTTTGTTTCTTCACCAGTTTCTTCTTCTTCTACTTCTTCAACATCATCCAAATCTTGATCAAGTTCAGACTGTTCTTTGCTACAATATCATAGCATCACACCATGGTTCATTTGTACCAATTACCAAAACAATATACAAAAAAACTTAAAAATTCTTTTTTAAATGTTTCTTTCAAAGATGACAAATTCAAAAGGTAAATTCAGTTCACTAACTTCACATGTAAACAAGTACTTAAATTTTCACTTAAAAGCCAAATACAAAATTTACAAATCAAGATTTTAAAATGTGATTTTAATAGTTTTTGGGAGAATATGGCATCACATGCTTTTGACATAATTTTTACTGACTCCATTCTTCACTACTGCTAGTTCCTTCTTAGTAACTGTAACTATCTTTCCTAGCTTACTTTGTAGCCAGATATATTTATATGCCTATTTTTTGGGGGCAAATTTTTTTAAGAACTCTGACAAAGAATCCTTACAGAATGGCAGATAATAACTAGAAAGCCTTTTTGTCCATGGTCTCACCATTCCTTCTATCCAGAATATGGAGGTGATGACTGCAGCTCCAGCAGCCCCATACAGTGACCAAGTAGCCTAGAAAATGTACACCAATGAGCCAAGGGTGAAAGAGGAGTCTGGAAAACAGAAGGAGCTGGACCTCTGATGACTATGAAGCAACTATACCAGTTGGTAATATCTCTGGATTTTCTGTAAAGTATTAAGCCCATTGAGCCTACTTCTTGCTTAGAGCAAAGCAATGAAAACAGTGCCATTAAGAAGGTAAAAAGTAGTAAAATAGCGTCCTCCTCACTTTTGTCTTAAAGGATCACAAAAATTATCTTTGGAAGATGAACTTGTATCTAGCACCACACAGGAAAACTGAGTGTTATGGCCCATGCCTATAACCCCAACACTATGGCAGGAGGATCAAAAGTTTGAGGCCAGCCTGGGATACATACTGAGTTCAAGGCCAGCCTGACAACACAGCAAACCCTGTCTCTAAAAAAGGGAGGTGAGGTGTAAAGATACGGAAAGCCTTAAACAATTCTTGATGTGTTGCTTACATTTTAATTTATGAATTAAGAGATTTATCTTCCATGTCTAAATAACATTTGAAACGGTTTCCCACAAGGTCAAATATAAGCTTTCATACAAACAAGAAAAGGTTATTTGGTTAGCAAAATTTAGGTACTTGTCATCTAAAAAAAGGAATTTAGCAATCAGAGTAGATGCATACTTAAGAGCTAAAGGCCACTGTCAACAAACTGGAGCAGACCTTCCTCTAGTACCTTTAATTAATCACTTATTAACATCCATCTACATCTAAGGCTTCAAAAACAAGTATCCAGGGCCAGGGATTTAGCTCAGTGGCACCACATCTGCTGTGTTCAACCCCTGGTACCAAAGGAAAAAATGTATTCACAAATGATTCAGATGGCCAACCTAGCCCATCTCTATTTTTTAAATAAAATTTGTACTAAGGCACAAATAAATTAATTCATTAATGTATTATCTATTGCTGCTTTCATATATCCTACATCTGTGAAGTGAGTAGTTACAAAAGCCCCCAATGCATAAAATATTCACTCTCAAACTCTAACAGAGTTTACAGACTTGGTTTAATTTCTCCATTTCTCTCATCCTCTAGTGCAAAATGAAGTAACATTAAGAGGGAGAAATCAAGCTGTAACAACCAATTTACTTACTTTCTAAAAGTTTTCAAAATGAAAGCTCACCTGCAGGCTAAGACGCACACATGCTTTAAGATTTTAATCCTCCCCAAATCTTTGTAAACAGACAAACATGGAAAGACAAGAGCAGCAAAACTTAGAAAGCTGGAAAACAGGAGTGAAATCTAAGCTAGCAGTGGAAAAAAGCTGAGGATAAGTCCAAGTACAGTCTTCAGGGACAAGAACTGATATCATCAAATACACTTCCATATAATCAGGGCTAAAGGTGACAATACAGAGGACTACATAAAAGCTGCTATGCAGTTCAATACTCAAATCCTCTCCCGTACTCTAGAAAAAATATGGCAGTGTCTTCTCTAGAAAGAAGATTCACAACTAAAACTTAAGAGACCAGACACAATTTATATATAGAGTGCCTAACATGACAGTACACAATAGATAGATGCTGAATATGTAGACCCCTCCCTGCCTGCCTTCTCTTAATCTTCAATACTAGAAGCTAGTCCTATACTCAAACATTACTCACTGAAGAATCTGATCAACTCAGAAAAATACCACTCTGACATTGGATGTTCTCACAACAAATGTGCACCATGATGACCCTACATCAAAGTCCCAAAGTAATAACCTCACCTACCCAACCCTCAAACTTTCTAATCAGCTTTTTTAAAAAGGTCTCAACATGGAGCCGGAGATTTGTGGTTGACCACCTGCCTAGCAAGCACAAGATCCTACCCACTACCAAAGCAAAACAAATAAAAAAGGTCTCAACAGACCCTACTCAAACCCCTCAACATAATGCCAATCTTAATGAGCAGATGATACCTCAGGTGTGAGGAAAGCTGAGATGAAAACACACAGAGAAAGAAAAATTTAAGACCTGGTTATATGAAGATGTAATATCTAGGAAAAAAAAGGTATTCCCATCAACGAAACAAGAATAGAATGTTATTAAAAACAGAAGAACAAAAAAGCTCCTAGAAAGTAAAACTATGCTATACTATAATAAAACTTACTATACTATACTAAGTAAAACTTTACAATGTAAACTATATTTTAAAACAATCTATGAATGGAAGTTTCCTCAGCTCTGACTAGAAAGAAAGAGCAGACAAAACTGGAAAATGACAGAAAAGATTTTAAAAATAGAAAATAGGAAAATTTCAAAACTCCAGTCAGAAATATGTATTTTAAATTATCACATTTAAATTATCATGAATCATCAGTGAACGTCACAGCAACAGTGGAAGCAAAAAGTGAAAATGGACAGTGCCTTCAAAAACCTAAAGAAAAATAAGTACCTTAGAATTCTACATCTAAATTATCAAGCATAACATAGTAGTCATTTTCAATCTTATCACACATCAAAATAATTTATTGCCCTTACAGTCTTCTAAGGTAGGAAAAGAACCAAGAGAAAAGAATGTAGAGTACAGCAAACTCAGGAGAAACAAAAACCCCAGGAAGTCAGTAAGATAGTCCAACAAAGACAACTTTGTAACCAAGATTAAGCAATCCAAATTAGAGTAGTATGCCTCAGAAGACAATCTCACTTTGAGAACCAGTATCACCAAACTATCTGGTACCTCTACTTTTTTGTGCTAGAAACAGCATGCATACATGAAAATATTGGCCCAAATTCTCATGTGTTCTTGGACATACTAAACAAAATTTACTTTGGGTAAAGTTTTCTGTGCTCCCACTTCCATTCCTTGATCCCTCAAAACAGCTATGAACAATCCTATCATCCTCCTCAATCCCAAGTACTCTGCCTTAATCTACTGAGGTGGCAGGCTACTATGAAATTAAATATTTTGCAAGTCATCCCATTCTCAACCATATTCTCCAAGACATCCATCTACACTGGGAACCAACTATACAATTTAAAACGTGTGTTCACCAGAATATATTTCTTAATATATTAACAATCTACATCACACCCTGCCCAGTAACACTTCCAGTACAGGCCCTTGAGAAGCCTCAGAAAAGTTTCTTAAAGATTCATGACCCAGACAGTTTCTTTACTTTTTATTGACCTATTTTGAGACTTTAAACGAATAGTAGGTAGTAATATAGCTTTACACAGCCATGTTTGTGCTATCAGATCTTCAAAAGTACACTTTGACTAAGAATTGGTAAGCTAAAGAAAAGCAGAAAAGTGAATTAGACAAAAAATAGAATATTAATGAAAGGCTAAAAGATGGGAGAATGCAACTGAGAAGGGGCACAGAAAGCTTCTAATAGTAATGTTCTAGTTAACTTATTCTTAAGTACTTTTTACTGTTAAACTCAGATTTTTACATGAGTCTTATAGGTGCAACACACTACAACCCAAGTAGAAAGTATTTGAGAAATACATATATGTATGATAAAATAAAATGCCAAAGTATTTACGATCTATTAATACATTCACATTCCTAAGAAAACAATGAAAAATGGTTTACCTATTTAAGATGGTGATTATATACACATCTTAGGTTGAGTATACTGTACCTAACTTTAATAGCAAGTAACAGTAGTTATTATACATTTTCATAAACAAAATTTGTACAGCTATCAACTATATCACAGCACAAAGCGATGCCAAATCTCTGAAAAAGAACCAACAGATCAGTTACTTACTTGTCAATGTCTGCCATGTTGTAAGATCTGCAAATTATCTATGGAGAGAAACACCAATGTTAAAAAAAAAAAAAATCATGTGAGTTCCATCTTCAATACAAAAAGAAAATCATGCAACATATGAAAGACTTCTCTACTAGCTGTCAAAAATAATTTCAGAAAAATTGATAAAACAAGTTACACTAGGTTTTCACAATTTATCAAATGAAGACTGTTATAACACCATAGGAATCCAAAATTCACTATACAAAAAGAATAGTATAAAGAGTCTTCATTCAATTCTTTATTTAGGTTTCTTAGTATCCCAGGACAAATTCACTTCATTTTAAACCTATTAATTTATCAAACTGACCTTTTAAAAATCTGCTACTTATTGGACTTTATAATGTCTCTGGACATCTTAATTCCTGCAGAGGTCAATCTCTTGTACTTCATGATAATTGCAATTAATTATCTAAGTCTCAACCTCTGTCAGATAAGCCTTATCTCTTATACTTGACAAAAAACGAGTTAAAGATGCTAGGGGGCTGGGGATTTAGCTCAGTGGTTCCAATGCCTGCCTAGCAAGTGCTAGGACCTGAGTTTGATCCCTGGTATCAAAAAAGAAAGAAAGAAAGAAAAAAAAGATGTTAGGCCAGGCATGGTAGCACACGCCTGTAATCCCAGCACTCAAGAGGATCTGTGCGAGTTTGAGGCCAGCCTGCACTACTTACTAAGTGCAAGGCCAGTCTGAATTACATGGTGAGAGACCCTTTCTCAAAAAAGCAATAAAAAAGGGAGAAAAATTGGCTCTCAAAGAAATGCAGTTTGTCTATCAAATCAAGGACTGTCTTTCAATGCACAGAAAACTTAATATGCATTTGTAAATCCAGAATAACATTCCTGTAACTAGTTCTTTTCTGAAGAGTAACAAGCCATACAGGAATATGAGAACACTCCATATTAAAATATACACGTAATCAAATATGATGAATGTTTAAATTTTTAAAACTTTTAATCAGGGGGCCAGGGATTTAGCTCAGTGGTTCTGCTGCCTGCCTTGCAAGCATAAGGACCTGAGTTTGATACCTGGTACCAACAAAATTTTTAAAAAAAAAAAAAAAAAAAAAAAAAAAAAAAAAAAAAAACTTCTAACCAGGCGTGGTGGCACACACCTGTTATCCCAGCACTTGGGAGGCTGAGGCAGTAGGATCACTGAAAACTTGAGACCAGCCTGAGCTACACAGTAAGTTCAAGGCCAGCCTGGGCTACACAGTGAGACCCTATCTCAAAAAAACCTAAATAAGTAAATGCTTAAAAACTTTTATTACAGGGCCAAAGATTTAGCTTAGTGTTAGGGGTTCCACCCCCTGCTTCGGCAAGCACAAGGTCCCGAGATTGATCCCCAGTACCAATGGGAAAAAAAAAACTTTTTTTTTCCCCCCCTCAAAATACTCTCTTTGAATACTTAGTCCATCATTCTCAGTGATTTTTTTACCTTAATATTCTTTTTAATATTAACATTCATTCTTTTTTATCATGGCTTGTGTCTTGGGTACACAGATTCCTATGTACATGCTCACATATGTACATTACACACATATATTCTAAGTATATATATCTACTATGCAAACATGTTATAAATATATGTATATAAATATATATTAATTCTAAAAGTCTTTGCTCTTCCTCTCCACCAAAACGTTTTTTTCAAAACCCTGGTGAACAAGTCCTACACATACTTTGCCCTCAGCTCAAAATTTTTCTTAGGAGTAGCACAATACTGTACTTCTTAAACCAACAGAGTGGTGCACACCTGTAATCCCAGCTACAGTACTCAAGAGGTTAAAGAAGAGAACTACAAGTTCATGTCCAGCCTGAGTGACTTAGTGAAATCCTGCCCCCCACTCCAAATTGGCCTAGAGATATAAGCTGAATGATAGGATCACTTGCTTAGTATGTGCAAAAGTCCTGGGTTCAATACTCATAAATTGGGCTAGGATGTAGCCCAGAGATGGCACAATGCAAGGCCCTGAGTTCAGTTCCTGGTACCAAAAGAAAAAAAAAACAAAACTCATTAATTAATGCAAAAGTTTCACAGTTGTTTTCTCCAACCTGCACATTAAGTCAAATATTTCTTGGTTGTACAAACTCCTATAAAGCTCCATTTCTTTCCATCCTAAAATGTCTCAAGTATGCCATTATAAATTGTGCCTTAAAAGTCTACCTCTCCTAAGTGACCAGACCATAAGACTCACAAGGTAGTACACATAACCTTGCTGTCACCATGGAACATGCACACAATGGAAGGCTTCTTAGTCAAGTCTTTTTAGTCAAGAGGTGATGTAAGAAAGAACACCAAAGCAAGATAGGATATATGGCAAAACTTCATTTTAATATTTAAAAAATGCATACTTATATGGATACTTTCCTATAAATAAAACCTCTCCATATTATTTTATTTTATGGTGCTAGGGAACTGATCTTGCACATTTATGTACATAACCTATAACTGAGATAAACACTCAGCTCCCTAAATAGAACCTTTCTACAAAGTATACCAGAAACCTAGCTGTAGATCCATAAGAACTGGGGTAAAATGGGAACTTTAATTTTGCATCATGATATGTAACATGTTTAAAACTAGTTAAGAGACACAGAGGAACTCTGAACCATGTGAAACAACTTTTCTATAATCTAAATTTAAAAATTAAAAAGATTCTTAGACCCCAGGCCCAGATTCTGAACCATGTCCAATGAAGACCCAAAAGTGAACATTCTGAACAAGACCCCAGCCTCTGAGGCAGATGGTTCCCAGATTAACAGATCATACTAATACTGTTAGTATTTTCAAATGCAACTGACATTAAATAAAATCAATGACAAGTTTGTCAAACATGAAAATACATTCCAAAATCTGTGAAAAACTTCCACTCTTGATAGGTTAAAAGCTTGATAGTTAAAAGCCAGATAAAATTTAAAAAGTACAGAAAATTTGTTAAAATCTTAAAAGCAGGCCAGGGATTTAGTTCAGTGCCACACTTCTGCCTCAGTGAAAGGTCTTGAGTTCCATCCCAGGTAAAAAATTTTTTAAAGCACTGAAACACTACTAAGTCTAAAACTGAAGGCAAAACAGGAAGCTACTTTTGCCCTAAAGTAAGTACCATTATCAGCAAATGTGTTTTAATCACCTTGTGGTCAAATTAACACTCCCAAATTAAGCAGGAACCCCAAAGAGCTATATTCTCAAATAAACCTCCTAGACAAATAGCCCAAATTCATTTCATTTTTACCACCCTCTCAAACCACAAGCTATGACCTCAAAATGCACCCCAGTCAGTGTGTTCACCAATACCTGCATGTCCAAATGTAAGTGAAAAGTACCTTCGTCCTAGACCTCAAATAATTCATTTAAGTAATTTTCAAGAGCAACAGAAACTATTCCTGCAAACACAATGATCAACTATCACTGTCAGAGTGTAAAACTACCAAGAGCCAAAGGGCTTACCAATTACGAAAATACAGTATCTGGGGCTACAGGTTTAACTCGGCTGCAAAACACTTACCAAGCATGGAACAGGCCCTAAATTCCATCAGAGAGAGGAAAGGAAGGCCTTAGATTCAGGGCTGTCCAGCCTATTCAATTAAGCTGACTGGCAGGTAGGCCAAAAAACTCACTGTCAGAGAGTGAAAAAGGAAGAACAGTATCTGTAAGGAATAAGCCATTTGAAAAGGCAATACAGTGGACCCTTGTGACTTACAAACTGGATTGGTTCAGATAACTAAGTCAATATAGCTGAGATTAGGATATTTACCTGGATACATGCTACAGATAACAAGAGGCAGTTGAATCTTCCATTAACCTAATTGACCCAATGTGTTAGTCTGTCAAACTTGAGGGTCCAATGTATAGAAAATTTAGAAAATAACTGAACTTTTAGATAAAAATAACTGACACCAACTAAATGAGTTGGCTTGCTTAGGGGGATTAAATACAGAGGAGAATTGAATGAGCAGGAAGTCAGCTTAGAATACACCAAAATATGGCAAGATACTAAAGGATGAAAATTATGAAATACCTTTCATTCAAAAGTTCATGATTTTCCTTCTTCTACTCTCTTGCAAAAACTTCAAACAAGTTATAGGAGTAGAGAACAGAACAGAACACAACTAAGGATTTTCCAAATCAGATGAAAAATGTCAACTCAGATTCAAGGAGTCCTACAAATCCTACTCAAGATATATAAAAAACAGACACTTAGGTGTATCGATGAAAAAGGAAGGGCCAGGGACTTAGCTCAGTGTCACAACACCTACCTCACAAGCACAAGCTCTTGCGTTTGATCCCCAGTACATAAATAAATCAAAATAAAAAAGGATAATGCCACAGACAAAGACATCATCTCAAAAATATACACAGAATACTGCTTTCTCTTTAATGATAAACATGGTGGTACACACTTGTAATGCCAGCACTCAGGAGCCTGAGGCAGGATTACTCTGAGTTCAAGGCCAACCAGGGCTACACAGCGAATTCAAGGCCAGCCTGAACTACACAGCAAGACTCTGCCTCAAAAAAGAGGGGGGGGGGAAGACACCAAAAAAGACCACAGAATTCTCAGTATGTTACAGTCATAGAACACTACATGCAATCAAAAACTCTTGAAGGCAAAACAAATACTTTAAGATAAAAACACCTCTAAATATTCTTATTAAAATATTCTGTTGAGTATATTCTTCAGAAAGAAGGCAAGTGATTCTAGATGGACAGAAACAAGGAAAATCACCTATATATCTACAGATTTTTTGTTTTGAGACAGGATCCCATTACGTTACCCAGGCTAGTTTGGAACTCCTGAGCTCAAGTGATTCTTAGGCCTCAGCCTCCCCAGTGCTAAGATCACAGGTGCATATCACATATTCAGCTACATATTTTTTAAAAAATAGTACCACCATTGTGTAGTGCCTTAAAACAACCATGATCTTCAAGTGATTGGTGTGAACACGAGGAAGGAAAGGTACTAAAGTATTATAATGCTCCTAAGTACATAATGCTGTA